CTATTGACCCGTTCCGCTATATTTGATTGCGGCCGATACGGGACCATTTTTAAATGACGTATGCCCAGTTTTTGGCACATGTCTTCAAATATATTACTTACAAATTGAGGACCATTATCCGATATAACTTTTAGGGGCGCCCCGTATTTTAAAATATATTTATTTAAAATAGAATCAGTAACTAATTTCGCGGAGGCTCGTTTTAAGGGAACAATTTCGGTCCACTTACTAAAATGATCAACCATAACAAGGAGATACCGACTTTTATTTAACTGACTTTTTGGGAAAGGGCCCAATAAATCGATGCCAATTATTTCATTTGGAAATTCGGATTTAATGCTATTTAGAAACCCGGCCGGGCGGAAATTAATATAATTAACTGCTTGACATGTTGGGCAGGACTGGACATACGCCCTTGTTAACTTTTGCAGCTTCAGGAAAATAACTGCTTCGCGTACGCGTTGGATGGTTTTTCGAATACCAGCATGAGAAGCTAAAGGGCTGTCATGTAACTCCTGCAGGATATTTAATCTAAGACTAGCTGGGATAACAGGTCGAAATTCGTTGTTGGAATTCGTAGTTTTTGTATAAAATAATAGACCATCTATTAGTTCGTAATGGGCCGCCCTATTTCTTATCGCCACAATATCTTGGTGGCTAAAATTTTCAGGATCCTTTAAATACTCATAAATGCTTCCAAACTCAGGATCCTTACCCAGTTCGGTTATTACAGTTTCTCGGGAATTTATTGTACATGCTGTGAGCATTGCCACCTTTACAGTATTACCTTCTTCATCTATTTTAATTCTGGATAGGGCATCTGCTACGATATTTTCCTTTCCGGGGGTGTGCTTGATTACCAGATTATACTCTTGTAGCTTGAGTGCCCATCTTATTAACCTTGGGGATAAGTTTTTCCCTGAGTACAATCTAGTTACCGCCGCATGATCAGAATACACTGTTATTGGCGCCCTTCCAAAATAGACTCGGAACTTTTGCACTGCTAACAGAACTGCAAGTGCCTCTCTCTCAGTCGCGGAATAATTTCTTTGTGTTTGATTTAAAGTTCTACTAAAAAATGCCACGGGCTGCTGATTTTGCGAAAGTACAGCTCCTACCGCATAATCCGAAGCATCCGCTGAAATTTCTAAATTCTCATCGTTTTCAGGAAATTTCAAACAGGGGCTTGCGTTAATGCTTGCTTTAATTTTTCAAAAGCACTATTGGCTTCGGCCGTCCACGAGAATCTTGTCTTTTTCCTTTTTAATTTTAACAATGGTTCAGCAATAGCTGCAAAATCTTTTATAAAGGACCTATAATATGAACAAAGTCCTAGAAAAGAAGAGAGCTTCTTCGCCGTATTTGGCGGCGGATACTTTTGCACAGCGATTATTTTTGATTCGTCTGTCTCGATTCCTTTCTGAGATATTTTGTAACCTAAGTATTTTAATTCAGGGGCTGCAAATTTGCACTTTTCGACATTAACTTTTAGACCGGCCTCATTTAATAATGAAAACACCTGTCTTAAATCCTGTACATGTTGGTCCAGATTATCACTAGTAATAATGATATCGTCTAAATAGATAAATGTGGTCTTTCCTAAGAACAGGCCTTAGCACAATGTCCATACATCGCTGAAATGTTGCCGGTGCCCCTGAAAGGCCAAACGGCATACGCAAGAATGCATAAGTGCCAGACTTGGTTATAAAAGCAGTCTTAGGCACATCTTCTGGTTTAACACCTATTTGAAAATAACCAGTCGTTAAGTCTAACGTAGTCATATATTTCGGTAGAAGTTATGTTCCTTAAAATTTCTTCAATAATAGGTAACGGATATACCGGATATTTAGTCATGGAGTTTAATTTACGATAGTCAATTGCAAAACGCCACCTTTTCGGATGTGTTACTGGATAGTCATTATTTTTCTTACATAAACACAACCGGGCTAGCATAACTACTTGAGATGGGCGTTATGATCTTTTTACGTAACATATCTCGAATGTGCCACTCTATAATTTTTTCTTTATTCTTATCATACCGATATGGTTTGTGGCGAACTGGCAGTGAATCTCCTGTGTCGATACTATGGTTAGTAACTTGAGTAAATCCGGGAATATCACTAAATAACGAAGCAAATTCACTTACCACTTGTCGAATTTTTTGTTGCTCTCCCTTAGGCAGGTGGTTGAGGTTTAATGTGGGTGGTTCTCTTTTTTCTTCCCGAACTGGTTGCATGGTCAGCTTAAGGGACGCTTGGTTAAAATCCAGCGTTGCTTCTGCCTCTGAAAGAAAATCTATCCCTAAAATGACATGTGCTTGTAAATTTTTTACGATAAAAAACATGATCTTTACTTGCTCGTCCTTGATACGAATATATAATGGTATTTTACCTATGCATTTGCATCTTTCTCCCTGCGCAGCTAACACTGTCGTATTATCCGAATTATATATGCGGTATTTACGGAAATACTTCCTAAAAAAATCTTCTGCCACACAGGAACACTGCGCGCCTGTATCCAGGAGTGCGGTGGCTGGGATGTTGTTCACCAAAACTTCAATCTTTGGAAGAGTCAAATTTTTCACAATAACTGTATTTAACTTGAAGGAAGAGGGGTTTTCTTGGCCTTCGGATTTCCGCACCCTCCCGTCAGCAGAAATCCGTTTTAGTTTAAATTTTCTTTCTTCCTTTCCATGCCTTCCTTCTTTTTCCGCTGGCCTTCAGACTTTTTTCTGGCTTACTATTGAACTGTCGACGTTCGCCGGTTGTTTTTGGATACTCAGGTTTCCTTGCCCACTGATTCGATTTGCTTCCGTAGCCGTGTTCTTGCCTTTGCTGTGGTCTTGGCGCACCAAATTGGCTTCGTTGCTCATACTGGCGTCTTCTTTCAATGTCCGCCGTTCTTCTACTTTCAAACTGGATTGCTAGCTCAAATAACTTTTCCAGTGTAGTCGGATTCCTTAATTCAATAAAGTCTTGTACTTGGGGAAGTAACCTCGGCAAAATCACTTGGAATTATCTCAGGATCCGGACGGCTTTCCATACAAGAGTTTAAAGACGTGAATTTTTCTTAAAATAAAGCTTGAGAGATTTTCGATTCGTTGCTGGTATATGCTGAAGAGTTCCGCTTTCTAATTTCGCACGATTTCTTACGACAGGGAAGGCTTTTACTAAGGCAGTCTTAAAATTTTCGTAAGTATAGGTGGGACTTCCCGCTTGACCCAAGAGGTTTCTGCCTATACATTTGAACCAATTAAGCGCTTGGCCCCTCAAAGCGCTGGTAGCTAAGGTGACTTTCTGGAATTCATGGACTGGATACAGCATGAAGTGGTCATCCAATTTTTCCAAAAAAACTGGTTACCGGTGAGTTTCCATTGAATGTTGCTTCTGGTTTCATCGATGCGCGCATGGTCTGGACGATGTAACCAAATCCTTCCAGGGCGGCAGCTGGCATTTCTGGATTCTGAGCCGCTTCTGCAGGCACCACAGGTTCTTCTTGAAACTCGGCCATGGTTATTCTTCTTCGTCGGGCGCCACTATCAGGACTTGTATTCCTCTTTACTTGCTTTGGAAACATGAACTGTCCTGACTCGGAACAGGGAGCTTACTCAAGCTATGTTCAATAAATGGTGAAGTAGACAATACACACAGGAAGGGTATACGAAACCCTTTATTTTTCTATCTTTACAGAGATTTCCGGAACTTCGGAATACAGAGACCAACCACTTGTGGTCTACTATAGACTAACTAAAATATAAATATAAAACTACTAACTAAAACTTTAACTAAAACTAACTTTGGACTAATATACAAGTGCCTAACTTTAAGATTGGCCGTTATTTTACAAAATCCGTATGTAGTACAGAGAGCTGCTAAAATTACGATACGTTTAAAATTATCAAGAGGATTAAACCTCTGGCCTTGAAGGCAACCAGCAACCGAGTAAAACTACTATGGCAAGCGGCCTGCTTCTAATAACTCCTTTCTCTCTCTCTCTTGCTTGGCAAAAAGCCACAACTTAAATACTTGGCGTTAGCGAGACAAATTTGCATAAATAAGTTAACGCTTTTAATTCTGGCCGGAAGTAGAAAATAAGAAATGATGGTAAAGATTTAAAATAAAATAAACGTTAGTAAAACTTAGGATCCTTACAATGTGAACAGCAATACTAAACACCTAAAATAAATAATTAAACAGTAAATTTTTCGGTTCTTGTGATTACCTAAAATATTGAAATAAATATGAATTATTTAATTAATATTAAAATAAATATATTAAAATATTAAAATAAATATGAAATAGATTTGGTTTTAAGAGTAATATTCTAATGAAATAATGATTTTATTTTCATTTTCTGCAGAAAATGGATGCATTGTTTGTATAATTTAAACGCTTTCTTAACATTTGCTTTCCTGAAGATGGAAATTTTAAGCACACTCGGTGCGTATTCGAGAAGTTCGGATTCGAGTCCCGGTGAAGACACTGAACATTTTTCACGTCTCCTACTTCAAAATAACATAATGTTTCTACAGTGACGCCTGAACTAAAAAGGTGGATGATGATGATGATTCTTCACAACCTTCTTCTTCTTCATTTAGCGATTGGGTCTCCCCCCCCATTCCCAGTTCGCCCTTAAAAAATGGAATCATAATATAGCTAGATCATCATAGCATGGTAATTTTTATTGGAAATATTCAGCGTAATATATTAGAATCAGTATTTTCTGGAAGACAGTTTCGATTTCTTGTAAAACTGCATAACATTTTTTACAATCTTCCCAGCTAATATTATATATAGTACCAAACTGCAATGCGAATTTTTACAAGAAAGCTGGTATTTACTGAATTATTTAACCTTTACTGCAAGTTATAAATTAAATTATTAGAGTAGTTCAAGTTCCGCGTAATATATGCCACTTTGAAAAACAAAAGTATTATTCTTTTAGATTTCTAATTGTAATTATTATGTGCAGTGATGAAATAAATAATATGTCGCAGAAGAAACCTTTTTTAATATAGATAATTTTATTTAATTCACAATTTTTATTGTAAAATTTATTGACATCCGCATCCAGCTGCTATCATATCGTCATACTGTTTTAGGACAACATTTGAATGTTCATCGAAATAAAGTAAATTTACTGGATGCAACTCCGTTGGAACACAGCAAGGGGCACCTACTCCTGCGGCTAGTCCGAGTTCGTGTACTATACTTTGTACTGTCGCATGGTTGGTGGGACGTTGGTTCTGACCAAGTGGAAAAGCACAAGCTCCAGTGCACACATAGGCATCATACCATTCAGGTGATATAATCCACGTAGACCATCCAAGCCTGTCGAAATCCACACGTAATTCTTGTCTGGTGCACTGCCCGCTTTCAGTTACAGTAGCAGAGCGTGTACTTCTTACGCTACTTTCTTCAGAAACCTGTTGTGGTATTCGATTTTCATTCCTACCAAGATACTGAAGGGATACATCTAAGTAGAAATTAAAAAAATAAAAAGATTAAAATTAAACTATTTTTATTTAATTTTAAATTCGTTCAGAAAATAAATTAAGCAATACTTTTATGTGAACGAACAGCATGGAGTTTCATTGACACAGTTTTGAAAGGAAGAAACGATAGAAAGATAATTCATTGTTTCGTAAATGTTTTAAGTGTATACCAGTAAAAGATTAAAAGCTGTGCAATTTTTTTAAAAGCATTGCTGAATCATTATAAATCAACATTTTCTAACGACTTTATTACATTTCAAAGCAAATTTATCTGTCCCCTAACTCTTAAAGATTAGTAAGAGCTATAAATACTTTCGTGACAAAATTTCATCAGATGACCATTATATGAAACAAGAAACTTGATATAAATTTATTTTCATTATAATGCTGTATTCTCTATTACATATTAGTTTCTTTAGTCATGGCTTCAAATATTTTCATTTATCAAGTCACAGAGGAAATCCAGTTTTAAGGGATCATAATATTTGTCATTAACGGCTCGTCAAAACTGAAATTTCGCAGAAGTTAAATGGGCGCTATCAGCGGAAATAAAATTATTGCATTATTAGAGATCAGTCGCCATTGTTTTTACAAAATAGGATTTCACCGCACGCTCAGACATCATTGATTTGCCTATTTTTAAGGAATAATTAACGAAGAGCTTGAAGACTATGGGCTTAAAAACTGTAGCTTAAGATTTGAATGCTGAGAAATAATGACGTACTCTAATCGCATATTAAGCAAGTTGGGAAATGTAGCGAAATAATTGACGATTTCTCATCTAGAGTGAAAGAGAAACCTACAACTAGTTTTCTCTTATACAAGGATGTAGTTCATTTGATGTAGAGGGATTCTGGCGAAAAGAGACATAAGTATTGCGACCGCATTTATTTCTACGTAATCAGAAATATTTCAAGGATGGCAGTAAGGCCTAGAAAAGAAATCTTATTTGGTTTGGTTTATTTGCTTATGGCAAAGCACTCAAGGGAAGGGATGCTTTCGTGAAGAATTTTCCAAGGGAAACGTGGTGGTATGCACGTTACGCATGGGGAAAACCACAAAACTCCCATGCAGCCAGCTCGTTCCCCTGGATTCGAAATTCGAACACCGGTCCGAATTACCAGTATTCAGCGACTTTACCGCTCGGCCGCTAGTAGGCCAAAAATCTTGTAACCTTTTTGTTTGTTTGTTTTAGAAGACTTCTTCTTATGAAACCTAATGCGCATTCATACATTGTATAGCTGGTTATGGATGAATAGCAAGATAACGATATGGAATGCATAGATTAGACAGCATATTTGCTGTCCTTAAAATACGAATGAGTGTAGCTGGAAAACATGATGAAAAACCAAGTTGCTGGTCGTCAACAATTTCATTATCACAGAATAATCTAATAACATTTGAGCCATTCAGATGTGTAATAATCAAATAATAAATATATTACATAAAATAACTTTCACTCGTCTATCTTTTAAACTTTTTCGAATGCATTTAATTTAAAACGGTAGTTCCCTCGAAGTGGCCAGTCGTGCTTATAGTGAGAAAGTGAATTATCTAACATAAGCTACAGAGAAAATCATAATCTTCTTTGTTTTTCCTTATTCTACAAATATTTAGAATTCATAAGGATTTTCTAATTTTTAATCAATGCAAGGTATGTTGTTCCTTTATTTGAAAGTGAAGGGCAATTGAATTAATTAATAATTGATAAAAGAAGGAGAAAAATAATTTTTAACATCTTTGAAAAATTAGATTTTTAATTTCCTGTAGTATGGAGAAATTCTATAACATACAGCTAACAATTACAGATATTATATGATACAGTATTCCATTTTGGACATTAGGTTTACTAGCGAGCTTTTAATTCGTAATAAAACAGGAAAATATCAATAACCATACGTGATACATATTATTAAATTCTATAACGTAAATAGAACTCAAGATTAACTCTGAGTTTGGTTATTTTCAATGGGTTAGCTTTCGTTTTACTTGCCATATTCTAGCTAAATATTTATTTGTCACAATTACCTATTGTTTTGTGAATCAAGAAGTTGATTAATACAAACATTTAGTATGAATAGTAAAAATGCTTAAATGTTTCTAACAGTTAATCAAAGCCAATTATTAAATACTAGCACTTTTTATTCTGATTTCTTAAATGTTGATTTTTAAAATGTTCTAATTTTTGAAGATGTAATTACTGATAATAAAAATCCCGTTCGTTCGTAAAAATGCCGTTTGTTCATACTTACTTTCGTTTGTCGCTTTGCGAAGTTTGGGTGAAGCAGAGGTTCTTGAATCTCGACTGAAAACTATAAGAATTGGCCGTCTGAAATTTAACATTCGATGAACTCTTCGAGCTGGCCATTCTCTCCCAGAAGAATCCAAGATTTGAACTGAAAGACCTATCGGAACATGAGCACGATACAAAATCATTATTAAAAAGTTTTAACAGGATATATTAACAATCGTACTGTTGTGAATGAGAAAAGAGAGAGACAGGAACTGATAGATAAAGATTTCACGTTTCAAATAAAACTGGAAAGATACAAAAAATTTCATCTTATTATCTCAAACGTAATAATTACAACTTCATTTTCTAATAATTATAAAATCGTTTTAGTTTACCCACATGAAAGTTTATTTTATAACTTTAAATTCATATTTTTTACTTGCAGAGAAAATATTTTCGAAAAAACACTTCCTTTTATTATTCTTTTGATATATATATATAAGATATTTCTGATTTAATTGGGCAATAGTTCCTTTTATTCCTAATTTTAATTTGGCTACCTCCCCTTCCTGTCTTAAAATTACTAAGTGCTATAATATATAAATTAAAAGTGCAATATTTTTAAAATTAATCCGTTTCATGCTTTCTCATGTAATTCTGCAATGAAGAAAGCTCTTAACCAATCACAGATCAAAATTTCAACAAAGAACTGACTATATATGTCTGACTGCTGAAAGCGTACTTACTCGTTTTCCTTTGTTTCTTTATAGTCAAAACATTATTGATTTTCTTATACTTTCTTATACTGATCATATTTTCTTATACAAATATGATCCAAATTTTGATGATCTTCAGTTTCTTTTAATCATAATAAATTAGTTTGTACGCACAGGCACTGGGAAATAGATGACATATCAGCTTCAACATTAGTAGAATCTTTCTCGTATTTTATATCAAAATCATACATAGGTAATTTTAAAAACCATCCAAATAATCTAGCTGTAGGATGTTTTATATTCTTAAGCCAAACTGAAGGAACATGATCAATATATACAGTAAAATGACTTCCATGCAAATAATAATAAAACTTATCTATAACGTCTACATCTTCTAGACTCTCTGATTCAGTAATTGCATAATTTCTGTCATAAGACCTTAACTTTTGAGAAAGATAAAGGATGTAAATTACTATCTGGGTACTCTTGTTTTAAAATTGCATCAGCAGCTTCTTTAGATGCATTTACAAATACATGATAGGGATAATTTGGATTAAATAGTATTCAAATTGGTCTGTAAATTAAAGTATCATTTAAATTTTGAAAGCCTCTTTAATATTCAGTTGTCCATTTACACTAAGTATCTTTTTTAAATAATGCTAGGGGAACTCTAATTTTGGTTTTGACAACTAATTTTTACGGCCAATTTTGGCTAAAAATCGCCAAGAGCCGCCAAACCTGGCGACTATTTGGCAACATTTTGGTCATGTTCTTACATAACTATAATTGGTATTGTGATTGAATAAGTGCATTTGATCCTTATATGTAACTGTAACCGTATCCAGCCGTCATATGCTTCCCAGTAATTTCAAGAAGTGGAAGATGCTAGAGATTTCTTGGCGGGCGAGGCAAAACTATATAAGACCGGAGAGCATCAGTTTCTCAGTTGTTAGTTCATAGCTGAATTCGGAGTATTGAGATATCTGAGAGAGATTCGCTTTTTAGAAGCACTTTGTATTGCATTATGTTTAACGTTGTTTGTAATTTGAAGCGTAACTATAGATTGTGCTCTATGATACTGTGAAAAGCTGTACGAGGGCTTTTGTTGAAAGTACCAGATTTCTTTGGGTAAAAATAAATTTTACGAAGCTATCATCGGTTCTATGTACATTCAATTTATTACCAACTCTTACGCACGACACAGTATGCTTCTTTATACTTTTAGATGGCAATAAGATTATTAATAGGATATTTGATGTTAAATTTTCAACTTAATAAAGCATATTATTAATTTAAAAACGATTAAGACTGTTTAATTGCGGCAATATTGATTTCACTGTAGCTGAAAATAAAAAGTTCATGTATGGAAATTTTAATCAATTGTCAAAGATGTTAAGTTTTCAGAAGAACCACTGGACAGTTTTCTTGTGAGATTGTTTAATGATCTAAAGCTTAAAATGTATTCAGACTAGGGAAAATCAGTTTTTTATCTTTATAAAAGATGTACTCGAATTAGATCGAATTTCTGGTGAACCTGTTCATATTCTAAAGTAAAACATACAAGTGATAGATTATTTCGCATAGTACTGGAGATCCTAAATTTCTGAAGACTATGTATACTTCGGTTATCATATAGCCATGTATGTGAAAAAAACCCGTAATTATTAAATGCTTAAAAAATGAAATTCAAAGGAATTAAAACGTTGATTTAAAAAACATCGGGTGTTCCCAGCTTCATTCATAGTTTAGCACTTTTGCTACTACATTTCTGTAAATTTGTTGAGTTCAAAATTTCTCACACAAGAAAAAATGTGAAAACTTCTCCACACTTTCACTGCGTTTTAATCTCCAGTATTTATATAAAAAAATATGTAATATGTGTTGTGTATCAACAAATAATTCAGTCAATTAAATTCTTTTTTATAAAAAATTTATTATTTTCAAAAATTGATGATTTATATAACTGTATATAATAAAAAGACGCAGAAAATTATAATATTGTTTAGCTTTAAATTACCTTTATCATGTCCTGGACTTGAAAGCCATTTTTTAACAGCTGTTGTTACTTTAAATACTTCCCATCCTGTGGTATGGGCACTTATGAGACGAGCTTCTAAGAGACTTGCAGGTGAATCTTTTAAATCATCATATAGTAATATCTAAAATACATACACAAATATTGAATAACTGAAATTTTCTGAAAATAAAATTACAGTATCTAAGTATCTAAAATCTAATCTGCACATAATGAAAGATTATGGTAAGAGCTTATACAAAAAGTAATATCTAAAAGTCTTTTTTTAAATCGGGTGTTATCTGGAATTACCATATTTCCATATTTAGTACAGACGGTTTGCATTCCCAAAGATCGGGCTATATTCGCACTACATTTGAGTCAAATTAAAGAAATGTCCCTATTTTTAACCCGAAAGTACAACTTTGATTTTTGTAATGGATAAAGAACAAAATGGATTAAACAGGACCTGTTAGAACATTGCTTTGATAATTTTTTATGGGAGTATTCCGTAGGGAGCATATGTATTATAATGTAAAATATGTACCATTTATATAGCACTGAAAAGGATTATAATGAGAAGCATCTTTCTACAGTAAGAATTCCTTTATTCTGGCTTAATATTTCAAAGACTAAAAAATTTCCGTCAGTTTTCGTCATCCTTTCATTTTAAGTTACAGCGTATTGACAGTCAAAATATATATCTCTGGTATTTTATTTCTTCATCCATCATTTCATATTTTGTTGCGATCAGCTTAGCGACTTTCAAAATTTTAAAAACTGCATTTTAAAAATGTTTGTAGTCGCCATATAGTACTGTAACTGCAAATCTTATTTTTTACAATTAATTTACTGCCTAATTATAAAAATTTCGCTACTGTGTATATCTAATGAGAAGAGTCCTACATATTTTATTCAGAAACACTGAAAATTCAAGGAAAGAGATTTTTTTTTTTTTTTTCGTATATTGCATGTGAGGAAGAACACCAGAGCGTCCAAGCAGACAACTCGTTCGTCAGGATTTGAACCTGGTCCGAATCGCAGCGTTCTGCGGTCTTATCTGCTCTACCAAAGGTGCATTCGGTCTTATTTATAAGTACTGCACCTCGTGGACATTAGATATTATTCCGTCAATAGTTCCCTCGCCTGAACCTCAACTAAAGATTTTCCAAAAGTCAGGCCCTAAATTGGGATTTTTCCAAGGTCTGGTATTTTCACACTAAAACTCAGAATAACCTACAAATCATCATAACATTATTAGATATTATGACGCGTGGGTTTCCTATTTGGATACAACGCAAATTTGCCCTGGTGAAATATAACAAGAAATTTTCTGAGAGAACAAACATATTTATTATTTGAAAGTTCAATAAAGAAAAACTGCAGCTCTGAAGTAATGTGGATGATCTTTTTCTGCTGAAGATGAAGAGTATTGTGAAGAAGAAGAAGAAGCTTAGAATTTTTTCCCGCTGTTAACTGCAGCTACAAAGCCCACCTGGAGCAAAGCCAGATAACTGCAGCTATTTGGATGATTTATGGTCATCATAATCACAAATATTTCATAGCTATTTAAATCAGACATCGTATTAGTTTGGGGACGGGTACTGATGATGATTTATAGTTATTTTGTTGAAACTTTGACATCATAGCTATGAATTCTTTATGGATTTTTGGATGACTTAATGACGTCATCGTTTATTCTTGTCTAAATTACTATGCCTAGACAAAAATTAAATAAGGTTAAAATTGTTGAAAACTGATTCATTACCAATTCAAACTAATACCAACAAGTAAAACTGTTTGCTCTTTAACCCTTTCCGGCACGCTACCTTTTAAAGTTGGAGTTTTGATTTAAAAAAAAAAGCTAGGCAGTCTAATTAGGCCTAGAGGTGCACACAAGTAAAATTTTGTGAAGATAGCACTTATCGTTAATTCTGTGGGTAGAATAGAGCTTCGAAAAGATTGCTGAAACGAGCATTGTTGTCAATGAACTTTCCGATGAGGTGAGGAGAAACAAAGAATACAGACTTTCAGTTGTCCTAGATTATCGGTGAGCCCGGTCTGGGCACACCTAGGGTTCGCCGTTTGGTTTTAAGCAAGATTTCAAGGTAAAAATTTAAAACTAATATAGAATAAGGAGATTAGCATACAGCCAAAAAAATAACATAGAAATTTCTTTTCAAATAATTCCTTTTATACCCTAAAAAAATCTGGAAGATTTCTTTGAAAAATGAGGGTCTTAAAAAACTAAACATGGCTAAAATATATGGACTGGTTTGTGTTGAGCTGCCATCTACTATAAATAAAAAAGGTTCAGAGTAACCTATAGTAACCTATAAATCCTTTTACATTCAATTTTTCTGTGCGTAGAGAAGGAAATTTTTAGATGTGTCCAAACCGGACACACTGTGTCACAAAGGGTTAAGCAAGTTTCAGCTGAAATACTCAAATAAATTACTTTCTATCAAGAGTTAAATAGGGGGCATAATTTAGCTTCCTTTCACTCAGTTTTCTTTTGCAATAAGGAACCAACATTTTAAGGAATTATACAGAGCATGCATAAGAAATTCAAAAGCAAAATGGCACTATACTACACGATTTGCTGTTTGGCAATTGTGCGTTTTAATCAATTTTTGTAATCATGCTTAATGATCAACATAGCTTTTAAAAATTTAAGTCAAATAACAGATTTCAGACAAATATATTACAGGATATTCATGTTCAAAGTTAATAAAGAGCAAAAGAAATTTTTGGGTTCGCCATTTTGCTTCCGACTTTTTTACATGCCAGTTAACGTAATAGGAAATACTTGAACAAAGGCATTCAATTCAATCAATTCAACAAAGGAAATCAATGTAAAAAAGCTTACGAAAAATACATTACTTCTTTCAAGTTTGTAGTAAATAAAATATTTCAAATTGTCTGAATTTATTTTTCTGAAATTATTTTTTTTATAGTTTCCTTTCCTTTCCTTTATTTTTTATCTATTTATTTTCTCTTTAGAACTTTTCTGAATCTTTTCACAAAAGAACTAACGTATTTCGATGACCATTTGAAAGAAATGCTAAATAAATATTTGTATAAATTTTTATGTAATTTGGTTCATATAAATTTCATTCATATTTCTTATCATTTCATGATAAGAAATTTTTGTATTATTCAGAAATAATGGCTTCATTTTGAATCGTTCTATAGATTCGTCTTGAGATAAATCAATCATAAGTTCGTAAGAAAATATTAAACGTATATCAATAATGTACAAGTTATTTCTTAAAAATTAAGATTTAATTAAATTTTAGAAGATAGGTAATGAAGCTTATGTCTAAATTTTTATCCCATCTCCTTCTGAGTATTCAGATCAGAAAAGTCGTGAGAGGTACTCCCCTCTCACCCCACGTTTGTTTTTGTTAAATTTTATTTTTCTAACACAAGGTTACTCTTTTTAGCATAAATTATATTTTTTTTCTTTTTATCGCAACTTATCTACGTACTCTAAACAATAAAATATAATGTTTATATTGAATTTTAACATAACATTTATTTTTTTTATTTTAACTTGATGCATTTATATTGTCTTTCCTCAGTTTTCTTCCTTTCAGTTCATTAATTAACACATTCACTGACAGATTAAGTGCATGAAATTTAGCCAAAAGCCATTCGAATTTGAAGAAAAACTTCAGAGACATTCCCTTATCTTTTCAGATTACATTTCTTAGCGTGACAGAGTCTTGTTTTGCTGAAATTTCCGCACTGATTTCCTCTTGTCTATCATTTCCTTTTGAACGTTGAAATTATTTACGTCAGAGACATTTTCTTCTTCACCCGAGGAAAGGCATGAGTTCACTCATACTATCGTCTGATAAATTGCTTTCAAAATATTTTTCAAATTATTTTTCTGTTAGGTGTCTTTTAAACTCATATCGTATTCATTTAGGACGTGAAAGCCCTGGTAACTTGCTATTTATGTTGCACATATTAGGGTATAATTTAAAAAAAAATAATTTTAAAATCAAAAACAGAGAAGTTGAATTTACTGCATATACTACCACACCTATACAACTACTCGCACCTTACATACAATAACGACCGACTAACGTGCAAAAATGTTAACTTATACTTCATTATGTGCTGGCACATGACTGGCTATTAGGAGACTACCACATCATGTACCATCGCATGATCGGCACTTAAGTGTCATCACAACCACCTTAGAAGAAGTCGCCAAATTTTCAGAATGCATGGCAACCATACTCATAACAATCCTTCAGTCAAGTAACGTCGCCATTTTCCTGCGCATTCGTTTTGTTGTGTTCGAAGTTCCAACAATTTTTACATATAAATTGTGATATTTTTCGCCTTAAAATCAGTTTAAAAATATGTGCTTATGAGCACTGGAAGAAACCGCTGTAATATTTTTGCAGGGATACAGTTTTTTGCAACAAAATCGCTTGAGGGAACAATGATGAGATGTGTTTGGTAGGTAATCGGTGAGCAAAACTGAGGATGCGCAGGATGCCGAGTTTGTGCAGTTTTCTCATGTTATTTTAAGCGAAAACAGGTCTCTGTGTCATGGATCACGGCAAAAAATATTAGAAGGATTTCGGAAAAGATGTCTTTTATCTATATTTAATGCATCATATAATCCTTATTTAATAATTAAAGTTTGTATATTAAATTGCTAAAGTGCGTTTTCTTTTGATATGTTGATAATGTTTGTCGACTTATGATAAATTTCAATAGTCTGGGAATCATTTTAATTTATTTTAAAAGAAACTGCAAATTTACATTTAATAAGTAACGCTTCATTTTTAAAAAATGCCTAATTTTTCCAGGATGGTGCGCTAATACGTAAGTAACCAGCAAACATGTTAAGATAGAAGTTTTCGAATTCACAGTGCATTTTTTGCATCAGATTTGATTTTATTTACAAATTGGTGTTGTTATTAAAACCTTAAACATCAGTATAAAACGAAATGCGAAAGATATAAAAGAAAATTGTATAATTTTTCAAATATATTAAAGAATAGCTAAGCAAATATTTATTTAAATTCCTGTTATTAAATTTATAATTTAAAATATTTATATAAAATTCTCTTAAAAATTATAGTTTACGAGTTACAAAAACGATCAAATATTAATCAGTGT